CAGCCACAACCTCCCTGGGCAACCTGTGCCAGTGTCTCACCACCCTCATGTTAAAAAATCTCTTCCTAATACCTAATCTAAATTTCCCCTCTTTCAATTTGTACCCATTACTCCTTGTCATATCACTTCAGTTCCTAGCAAAGAGTCCCTCTCCAGCTTCCCTGTAGCCCCTTCAGATCCTGGCAGGTTGCTATGACGTCTCCACACAACCTTCTCTTCTCCAGGCTGAACAGCCCCAACTTCCTCAGCCTGTTTTCATAGGGGAGATGCTCTAGTCCTCTTATCTTCGTGGCCTCCTCTGGACTTGCTTCAACAGTTCCATGTCCTCCTTATGCTGGGCACACCAGAACTGTGTGCAGCACTCCAGGTGGGTCTCACGAGAGCAGAGTAGAGGGGGAGAATCACCTCCTTTGGTCTGCTGCCCACACTCCTTTGGATGCAGCCCAGGACACGGTTTGCTTTCTGAGATGCTTTCTCATCTTTAAGTGCAGCAGAATCACAACCAATTTAATACTAATCAAGACAGTTTTGTTGGACAGCCCGTAAAAAAACCCATAACTAAAAGGCCATGGCTATATATCTTTGTAAAGCACATGGATTTGCAAAATGCTACTGAACTTCCACTTCCTTCAAATTTCAGTGTTTCTAATAGCGCATTTTTATTAGGTATTTAGGGAGCTTTTCTTAGAGGAGCCCAGCCAGAATTATTGGATATATTCTTTATGAGTTTCAGTCTATTCATATCTCACTATCCTACATATGTGGTATCCATATGTCATGCTTAATATCAATTTCAAATTTGAAAATGTCAAATTATTTTTTGATCTGTTCTTTTTAAGGCTGCTCTTTGGAAATACAGATCAAAAACTTTAGCATCACAAAAAACAAGGCAAATGTTCTCAGGCTGCAGAGTAGCATAAGCTGGATAAAAATTGATAACACAGGCCCTGATAAGAGAATATTCTGAAGGTCTGGTAGCTCCTACACCAGTCCCAGTACACAGGTACCAGTATGTAACTGAAATTTTGTTCCTTTTGGTCCTCAGGAATCTGACAGTGGGATGGTGCTGACATCAGATGAGATTAAAAGCCCAAAGAGACTGGAAATCCGTTCCTGGCCTTATGGGATCATGGCTTTAGCGTGAGTACTTTGGCATATTGCTTTTTAACACAGTGGTCTGTTCAGAAAAATGCTATTGAAATTTAGTTTTGCTTCTGATTCCAAAAGGAAAACTATCTAGACTAGCTGAAAGGAGAAGCAACTCTGAATTTCAGTCCTATAACCAAAGCCCATGTATCTTAAGATCAAGGGTTGGAATATTCTGCACATGGCAAATGATAGGAGCAAAAGGTCTGAGAATATACACATCTACTTTAGCTGTTTCTTGACTGCCTCTCCACTGTTCTCCTTCACTGATGGAACAAAGTTTGAAGCTGATTTATTAAACCAAAAAATAACATTTATCATTATACCAGTGTGTGTATTTAACTTAGGCATACAGAAGGACTGACAGCTTTGCAATCGGTGGGATGTGAATATAGTTAAGAAGGTGTGTGTATAGTAAAGAACAGAATAAGCACAAGCACTGCAGAGCAAGCACATTTACCAGAACCCTGATTTCTACATTTGCTTTACCATCACTATGAAGACAACCCTGCAGAGAACTCCCTTAATCCTACCACCTCCATGATCCCATGAACTCATATCTGATCTACAAACAGAGGCTGTGACAGTTTGCTGTATGTCCATCCATTCATAGTACATACACAGAAGTATAATAGGAAATATTTAGCTTTTAGCTCACAGTTAGGTCACAGATCTTTGTATTTTGATAACAATCACACAGGCAGAGAGGTGACCTAGTAGTGAAATGGGCCTTCTCCACCTTCCTAAGAACAATAGTGACCCATTTTATTGATTCAAATGTCAACACATAGAATTTCAAAGCATAGCTACCCAAAATATGAACAGAGAAATGGTTCTGGAAGGAATTCCATGTCTATTCAGGCAATTAGGCTACTTAGACTGTTACTGAATTGCCTAGAGTTTTCTACAAAATCTGTTGATGAGATTTCTATTAGTTTCCTCTCCGTCAAACTCAATGACCTTTCCCACCAGAGCAGCTGCTTGTTCTACACCAAGTCACCACTTCTCTGCATAAAAGAGGAATGATAGATGAGAAGAAACCTAGTGCAGTTTCTGGGTATTACGGGAGAGTTCACAGGAGAGTACAGTGTGACAGTGTTCATGAGGGGCTAACTCTCTCACTCTGAGAGAAAAAAAGGTGGAAGGAGCTTGCCTTGTCTTTTCAGGCCTTAAACCCCTCAATTCCTGGATATCTGAAGGCAGCAGAGGAGGAAAAGGGAGAAGATTACATAAGGAATGCTAGAAAGCCTCAGGACTAGCAGGGAGCCTTCACATGCTATGGATTTTGCTGGACAGGAGTGTGACTTCAGGAATCTTGTTGTTCAGTAGTATTTCCCCTGTAGCACTGTCCCAAGGCTGTACCTGTTGGGGATTAGCAGAGATCTAGATCAGGTTCCATGTTTTTAATCCTGTGCACACACCAAGAGGAGTTGTGCCTGGCACAGTGCATTGCTATGGAGACCAAATGGCACCAGCTCTAAAATAGGAGCTCAGATGTCAGGAACTGCGTTACTGTGATGCTTTACCTGGGCTGATTTACCTCTGTTCTGCATGATGTCATGTTGACACAAATCCAACACACACATGCAAACAGCCTCCCTGATAGGATTTATCCTTCTAAAGATTTCTGTCACTCCCCTCAGACTACTGTTTCCCAACTGCATTTCTCCCACTTGGATAACTAGTTGGCAGAGGAAGGTTCTCTCCCCTTTCCAGGCTTTCTGCTGAAAATCAGAAAAATAACATCCAGCCAGATGTAGAAACACACAAAGTCTCTAACAGCCTGTTCTTTTGAGATTTCCAGGAAAACCTTCTGAACTGCTATCAGGCCCACTGGGAGTGAATGTGAAGTACCAATGCTCTGTGGGGGTCAGTGAATCCCTGCCTGACCCCCACCATCTGGGGCTCTCCCCATTTCCAGTTGACACTTCCATAGGGATTCCATTCATCATGAGATATCTGATCCTTTCTGTGCCAGCCAGGCCCTGAAAGACCATCCTAACAGAGTCTGCTGTAACAGCAAACCCTGCTGCAAGCTGTGTTTGTTGTCTCCCGATTCCCAGGCCCCTGGCTACCATGGGATGGACAGAGGTGTGGTTTTTCTTGGCCACATCCTTCACTGAGTGTTTGAGGTCCAGCTGAGAAAGCTATTTTGTCAGCTTCTCTTTTTTTCAATCCTGCAGACTGTCATTGGCACGAATAAAAGCTTTAACACAATGCAGAGCATCCTGATGCACTCTTGTTTGAGGACATGACACCCCTGGGTGCTCCTGCACTGCTAACTTGAAAAACAAACCTCCAAAGCATGCAGAATAGTCCAGGGAGGTCAGAAGGGAGTGTGGGTTTAGCAGGGGAGATAAAGTCACCCTTGTTAATTGTGTATCGCTCTCTCTATCAAAAACATTTACCCTGGATCCTTTTCAAAGTCTTTCTTTTCTAAAACAAAACTGTTCAAAGGCTTAGCATGTTTTCTAAACCAGGGCGGCTGCGTTTATTAGTTTTGCCAAAATCTTGCTGTTTATTTATCCTGCATTCATTCCTTTGTCCAGTTTCAAATTTGCCAACAGTACACACCATGGAGTGTCAGTGTCAAGAGTTTATTGAAGATGAATCTGACACTCTGGGCCTGGGACCACTGTTAGACCAGACTATCTGTTTCTGAGCATTATATATCCTATAGTAGAAAGTCACAGCAGTAGCTGTAGTGAGAGACAAAGACAGACTGGGATAATGACACTGGAGTTAGCATTCAGGGAGGCACATTCAGCACAGAGAGGATTTAATGATGGGATGACTCTGGTGTCAGGTTTCATCTCATAATATCAACAAGCTACTGCCAAACACTGCTTTAAAATCCTCCCTGAGATTCCATAATCAAGTTCTTGTTTAACATTATAAAAGGTTTGATATCTGCTCAGTTGTCCTCCCCTATCCCTTCCCCTTCTCCACCCCCCCCCAAACCCAACTATTCACAGTTGCTCTGACATTATTGATCTGGTTCTGGCCAAGGCCCATGACTCCAGCTGAGTGAGACTCAGCTGATCTGCTCTGGGCTCTGGATACTGCATCCAGATCCTGTCACTGAGGGTTCTGCCTTTGCCAAAACCAAACTGGGCCCAAGGCAAGTCAGGAATATTGAAACAGATCATTTTGCTCAGGAGCATTAGATGTTCAGGTCCAAACACAAGGTGTCCGACAAGAACACAATCTAGATTGGGCTAGAATCCTTTTGCACCAGCTCACAGAAATGAGGCATGGAAACATGTTTGCTCCATGGCAGAATGTAGTTGCAGAAGATAAAACTATACTTACTGTTGTGCCATGTAACACCTTGCACTATGACCTGACTTGAGCTCTCCATATTCAGGCATTGAAATACTGCCCTGGAGGTGTTCAAGAGGCACCTGGACCTGGCACTGGGTGATAGGTTTGGTGGTTTATGGGTTGCAGTGGTAGTGCTGGTGGACAGTTGGACTTTTTGATCATAAAGGTCTCTTCCAACTTTGATGATTCTATGAAAATATGTCATTTTGAATTAATAACTACTCAGAAGCTATGTAAGCCACTTTTTGTCTAGGCTTATACTATATGTTTACAGTGGCAAGAATTGAAAGGAGGATTGTGAAAGGCTGTGGTCCCCAGCCTGGGTCTGATCACAGTGCTTTTCACCTCACTGAATTGGGAGCACTGGTGTGAGTGTCAGGGACGTCTGATCAGCCTGGCCACACATGTGAGTGGACATATACTCAAGGAGTGGGTGGCTTCGGCCTGCAAAAACTTTATGTTACCTGCACTTTGTATTTAAAAGTGTTAAAAAAAATGAATTCTTGATCCCAACCCCCTGAGTTCTCCTTTCTAGTAGACTGCTGATCCACTGATACTGCCCAGAGAGGAACCCAAGATGAAATTCTTACTGCACAGCACTCAGTCTAAAATGTATGAAAGCAAACTGTGAATCAGTCATAACTACCAGAAGGAAAAATAACCCTTTTATTTCTTTAATTGCAGAAAAATTAAATTTTTTTAAAACCCACTCTTACTCTGTGCCTCATATAAAAGCTGTTCTAAAGCCCTGAAGCTCCTACATGTTATTAAGAGATGTGGTCATGAGACAAACTGCT